TAAACCTCATTGCTTGTTTCTTTATGCTTAGATTGCTCGTTGCGTAGTTGATTTGTGACTCTGAAATGTTAGTTAGGTTATATAATACTTCTACTTGTGTGAAACTATCGCAGGGACCGTTTGGTGCATATGAAGATAAGAAACATAGGGCTACATATGAAGCATTAGATGACCCAGAGAAAAAGTTTCGGTTTTTCTCTGCTCGACAAATTGCTTGTCGGCTGCTTGGGAGCAGGGGCTATTTATGCCAGAAGGTACTTCATTTACTGTTCTTGAATTCCTCTGTTGCGTAGTGATGACATGAATAAGAACTCGATTTCCTGAATTGGGACTGGTCTTCTTTACTTGCAGTGTTGGCTTGCTATGGAGGATTGCATGTGTTCACTTGTCAAGCCATGTGGTTTATGGAAAAGGATACGTTTTTGGCTTTATATGCATCCTAGGGTTAGTATTGCACTCACCAGTATATGTCATTCGGTTTGAGGTTGTACTCCAATTTCTATGGATTAATATGCTGTTTAGCTGTTGACAGGATTTCTTACGCCAGAACAACACAGGGAAGTTATTGTGGCAGATATTTGGTGTCCAATCTGCTACACTCTGCATCTTTGGAATAGCTGAAGACGAAGAGATCATGTGGAATGAATTCAAGCGTGCAGGTTTTTGATCCGCCTTGTCTTTATATCCTTGCAAGTTCAGATGCATTTGTTTAATCTTCAAAAGATGTCACTCAATATCTCTATTGGTTTTGCTCAAAGCCTTGCATTTTTGTTCTGTTGGATGCTCAGGGAAAAGCCAAGTCTGTTGCCTCTATCCCAACCAGAACTCAGAAGTAACATTGTCGGTTGAAAACGCTTTTGGTAATTCGACTTCAGAGAATCCTGGATCATCCATGGTAAAGATTGCAACATTATGGCTATAGGTTCTCTGTTCTTTTATGGTATGCTTATGTTAAAACATATGAATGCTTAGACTAGGCTTTCAATACTACATTTTCTATTTCCCAGGCAGATGAGGATAAAACTTTGCATTTCATTTTGCTTGATGGCACCTGGAACAATTCTGCTGCAATGCTCAAGCGGTTAAAGGTATAGGCTTTGCAATTAACCATATCTCACATGGAGTTCATCTATGTCCTTTCTCTGTAGGGTTTATTTAACAAAACCGATACTGATATTGAAACCCATCTGTAGGATCATGCAAAGTTAGTATGGGGAGACGAAGATCTTCCTTGCATATCACTTGCAACCGGTGCATCAGCAATGCACAAACTCCGGTAACAATAGTCTCAAAACTCTATATTACTCATGTTCGGGGTCGAAATCTCCCCTGTGCCATAAAAGTTATATCCTTCTACATTTGATGTTGGACCTACAGGCCACAACCATCATGGGACCGGACCTGCACGGCTGCAGCAGCAATTGGACTCTTATCTGAGATGAGCCTTCTCCCAAAGTTAAGTAGCTACGGGTTAGACAAGCAAGCCGATGCAGTCGAAGAAGCTCTGGTCGTACTACTGGACTCACTAACAGGACGACGCTTAAGAATGGGCAGGTCCATAACTCGTAAAGTCAGAAACACCATCAGCATTTGCTAACAACAGATCCAGTTATATCATAGTTTTTGTACTGCCATACCTTTATAATGAACGGATCGTCAAGGAGGATCAATGATGGATGGTGAAGCAAAGAGAGAGATTTCTGGCTATGATTTGATTATATCATATACAAAGATCATGTCTTGGCTCGAGTGAGAGTTCTAATGGTTGAAGCAAACTCAGAAGTTTTGTAACCTTTTTGAACCAGTTTATGTAGTTTGAATTTTATATAATGTAGCCTCATAAGTTTTAAGACTACAAACTCAACATTATATGTCTGGACAACTTAAATTATTATAAACAGTAATTAGTTAATTACACAAACCCCAGAGGGTAAGTTAGGACAACGCCTCACCTAAGAACAAAAATATTGTTCCTTTTATGATGTCATCAGTATAAAAGAACTATTCCTTTTTTTCTCGCTAAAAGAATTATCCCTTTAAATTTGTGTTTTATAAGCTAGTAAGATTAATAAAGAATAATAGCTTGAAAAAATGTCAGTGTTTTTTTATCATTATATGATACAAATTTGATTTTTCTTTTGCTTTATAAATCTCTTTGAACAAGAAATAAATTTTGCATGACCGGTGGAGACAGTTGAAAAAAACCAACCAACCCATCCAACACTTCAGTATCATATTCATTTTACTTTGGTTTATATTTCGTGACTTTGTT